TGGTTCTCAGAATATCTGGAAATAGGATGGGAGGCAGATCTTTTAGTTATCAGGCTCCTCTCTTGTGGAAACAGCTCCTTTGACTCAAAGAACAAGACCATTAATACAACCACCCAAAAGGGTATGTAGGCCAGCCTTAGTGATAGGGCAAAGAGCTCAGAGTAAAGCCACTGCTCTTCCACATTGAAAGCCAACTGAGGTGCTTTGGCCATTTTGTGAGCATGCCAAATAAATGCCCCCGTAGCGAGGTATTTCAGGAACATTTAACTGGACAGGAGGCCCCCGAATCGACCTTGGACACGTAGGAGGGATTATACTGTATTATCATCCTAGCCAGGAAATGCCTGGGATCTTATTTATCAAACGTTGGTAGAAACTCAAAATCCTGATTTATGAAACATGCGGTGGCCACTCGTACGGATGTCCCTCCGCAATCGAGTGTTGATAAATCCCACCTGTGCATACCCAGGTGCTCAGGTTTGTTCAGTCATTTATGTACAGAAACACTCTCATTAACCATATTTGGTCACACCACGTCCTCTAAAGCTCATGAGGGGAACGCCTGCATTTTTCCAGGAAAAAATAAGATAAAATAAAACTTTATTGACAGTGAGATCGAGGCTCTGGCTGTCAAAGTAGAGGTGAAACAAACAAGTTACAGAGGTTGTAAACACGGGACGGGACAGGACAGAGGAGAGGTCTTGGTTAGAAATAAAGAAAAACAGTTCAGTATACAACCGGATGCTAAAAACCATAGAGTAACACAAAGGATGTTTTGTTCTATTGTTGTTTACTTTTAAGGACTTGTATGATGTTCTGTTTGGAGTTATTTTTGTTGAAGAATGATGGCTAAATGGATCCTGCTGGTGGAGCTGTTGCTCCCATGACCCATACCCAAATAAGTGGGAGAAAATAGATAGACCTTTTACCAGATATAGACCAGGAGGGTGGTTCTTCCCAAACACCATGTGATGCTTAAACAACACAGTAAAACATTAGGTTATGCATGTAACCACTGTTCCCTGAAGGAGAGGAAAGAGGTACAACGAAGGTACTATGGGACATCACGCCCTCGTGTGGCCTGGCTGAAGACACATTTAATCACGCCTGTAAGGCAAATGAAAGTGACGCTGCATGGAGGCCCCGCCCTCCACTTATAAGCAACCACGTGACTGTCATTCCTCAGTTCGATAGCTGCTCTTCACCGAGCTGGGCTGTGAAATGGGGCAGCCCTGCACTGTACCTCGTTCCTCTCCTTCAGGGAACAGTGGTTATATGCATAACCTAACGTTCCCTTTCAGTCGATTCACTCGGTACAACGAAGGTACTATGGGACTTATCAAAATGCCCCATGAGCAGCTATCAAACCTGGCCTGAGATTGCAACCTAAGATGGCAAGTCAGACCCAGCAGAGAGAACTGCATGGATCACCGAAGGGGCCAAAACATCCAAGCGGTAAAACCTCACAAAGGTGTGGGGTGTAGCTCAGCTTGCAGCTGAACAAATGTCACCAACTGAAACACCTTTAAACAGCGCCCACGAAACAGCAACTCCTCTAGTGGAGTGTGCCCTGACCCCTAGGGACTGCTGGGAGCCAGTGATGCTGTAACACAGGGAAATGGCCTCCACAATCCAATGAGAAAGTTTTTGCTTTGACAAAGCTTTACCCATGGAGGGTTTGGCAAAACACAAACAGTTGGTCTGTTTTTCTGATACTCCGAGTGTGATTTATATAAGCCTGCAGAGCACGAACCGGGCACAGACAATGCAGTGTCCTCTGCTCCCCAGAGGCAAAAGGAGGACTACTGAAGCCCGAAAGCTCTATCGTCATTGAACTGTAGTTGAGCGGGATGACCTTAGTCAAATATGCAGCAATGGATGCAGAGTGACCCATAGCTCCATCTGATGATATTTTCAGGCAGGAAGGGTGAACTGAAAGAGCATGAAGGTCTCCCACCCTTTCTTCCGGCTCTTGGAGAGTACAGACGCTTTTTTCCTCCTCTCCTCCCTATCTTATCCCAAGACTCTTTGTCTGTCGTTGGGTGTAAGGTGCTTCTGCATTTTTTCTGGAAACTGGAAATTATTAAACATGGATCTGGTCAGTTGGTCTCAAAGCAATTGACAAAATTTTTTCAATGATGAGAACGGGAAAAGAGGCTCCCGGATGCCCCTCTGGGACAGAGCCAGCTGGGTATATCATGGATTCCTGGAAACAGTGGAGCCTGATATGCCTCTCTCAACTGTCTGCAGAAGATTCTGAAGACGTCTGGATATTCGTGGTGTTGGTGTCAGGTTTCTTGGGTTTTGGCCTGAATGGTTACCTGGCTTACCGGAAAATTAATGAGCTGTCGAGGAATACTGGCTTAATCCTGGAGCTCAGGGATGGATTACACCGTGCTGTGAATGCACAAACTCATATAATTGTCCAGATGAGTCGTAAGCTTGGAACTTTGGCTGAGATTCAGACTCTGGCACAGAAGGTGGATTTGATCAAGGAGAAAGTTGACGGTCCAGCATGGATTGGGACAGATTAATTATGCCATTATTGGATTTAGAGGAGTTGGAGACCAACAGAACTTTAAGACAGAGAGGAAATTATCTCTGTCTGGCCCCAAAACAAGTTCTTATCTGAATCTGGTGAACTTGAGCCTGTGAGGCTGAAGTGACTACTCCCCCTCAGAAGAAATGTGGAATGCTGCCATCGCCATGGCAACTCTGTCTTCCTATCTCAGCCTGGGTGGGACTGCGACCAGTGAAGGCCGTTGAATCGTTTCCAGGTGTCACTGTGCTTTCTAAACCCAACTACCTCCCTCCCCTTTCCAAACGGAGGTGACGAGCGCTGCTTATTGCGACTGCATGCACTGATGTGTAGAGAATCCCCAACCCTACCTCCCCACCTAGTGGACACTTATGTTGTGTAATGTCTGAAGTCTGTTGCATTTCTGTCTGAGGTGTTTTTTGCATAGCAAAGCTGTCCTCCCCGGGGAGGGTAACTCTGAAGTGCATTTTTTTCCTCCACCTGACTCAATCCTCATATATAAACCCCTCTGATCTCTATTAAGGTAGAGCGACCGGGGTTGCAAATGACGACAGTCACCAATTCTTGTCATGTGTCTATGCCTATGTATGTATGTCTGACCTCAGAATTGTGTGTACTGAAACTCTAATTTCCCTCTGGGATTAATAAAGTATCTTTGAATTGAATTGATTCATTAGGCTCAAATGGGGAACCACATCGGGTCTCCAGCACCAAAGCGAGACGATCTAATAATGGGTCTCAGTCTGCGAACCCCTTTCATGAACTGAACGGCTAAAGGGTGACCCAGATGCCATGCGCCACCCTTCCCGCCTGGGGATGATGGAGCGTAGCACCTCAGTCTGCTTCCGCTGGGCCTCGAAGTTCGTCTGAAATGCGTTGAGGGACTGACCAAACAGACCACAGGGTGAAACAGGCTCATCCAGGTAGTTAGCCCTGTCCCTGTCGGGGACTTTAGAAAGGGTCAGCCACAGGTGTCTCTGAGCCACTATAGTTAAGGCCATACCTCTTCCCAACAGCAGGGCGACGCCTCGGGCCACTCGCAGGATGTAGTCCGACATGACCCGTATCTCACTGATGAGGGGGGTCAGTGGGCTGTCGGTGGGACCCTAGCTCCAAGGCCCGCCAGGCAAAGTGCTTGGTAGGTCTGGAGCACGGTGGAAGAGCTGAGAACGCAGGCAGTGGAGGCCTGCACGCAGTAAATCTTCTCCAGTTAAGCAGCTGAGAAGTAGCATGGCTTGGAAGGTAGATTAGTTTGTCCATTAACTCCATTATTGCAGGTCGGAGCCAGGTAAGCCGCGAAAGAGGGCTCCATCGGAGGGAGGTTAACCAATCCTGCCATTTCTCCGCTGTCGAGGTCTGAGAACTGACTGTAACCCGGGACCGTAGTTTGGGGGTTGATAGCGGCTTGGCCCAGCATGCTGTGAGCTCAGCCACAAAATCCGGGTACAGTGGCAGAAAGTTCTTTACCTCCGCTGATTCCGAGGGGAGGTAAAATCCAGAGAAGCAGGACCTCTTTTGTGCAGGTGGAGGAGCGGGACAGTCCACTTCTAGCCTTCCCGCTGTACGCCGACAGAACGGGAGAAAAGAAGTGCCATCTCGGAGCTCTTTGGCTGAAGTAGCGGCCGGAGCTGAATACTCCACCGCTGAGAGGACCTCCTCGTCCTCGAGTAAGTCCTGACCGTCGCGGCAAATGTCCAAAATGTCTCCATCCTCTGCCAGAGGTGGAAACTGAGAAGCGTCTAGGTCTGGTCCGGTTAAATTGTCCGCCATCTCTATCTGATCTGCCCAGCTAGTAGCGGGTACTTCGATCACTAGGCTGTCCACGTCAGAGCCGGGCGAAGCCGGGGCCAAACGGGAAAGCATGGGGTCCTGCTGCGAAACTGCAGCGTCTCCCAGTAGACGTTGTAGGAGCTTCACGCGCCGTTCAAGTGTGGGACGGCGGAGTCGGAGACAGAACTCACACGCCTCCAGGTCCACAAGCGCTGTCCTGGGGTGGAGAATTCCCAGACAAACTGGGCACGCTTTGTGTAAGTCCTTCTCGTGAAGAGAGAATCCACAGCCCTGAAGACAGGGGCGTAAAGCGACGTCCGACACGGTGCTCATTGCGAGACACACAGCAGAATGAAGAGGAGAAGCTGAAGAGCCACGAAAGATAGCGCTCAGTGGGTGGGAATGCTAGCCAGAAGGCAGTAGAGTCCAGTCAGCGAGCGGTTAAGCTATCTTTCAATAGCGCAGCTAGCTGTCAGATGTGTTCTCAACGAGGTGAAGAGCGTAAGGACTGAGGAATGACAGTGACGCGGTCGCTTATAAGTGGAGGGCGGGGCCTCCGTGCAGCGTCACTTTCATTTGCCTTACAGGCGTGATTAAATGTGTCTTCAGCCAGGCCACTCGAGGGCGTGATGTCCCATAGTACCTTCGTTGTACCGAGGGAATCGACTGAAGGGGAACCAGCTGAACTTACCCCAGAGTGGAAAGTCCAGGTGGACTGAGGACAGCGGCGACACACCCCTTCAACTGGTTTTGATGTGACTGCATATTGATGATCATCACATCTCCTCCACGCCTACCAATCATCACACAGAACAACAGTGAACACTTCATTTACTCTGAACCCAGAACAACATAAAGTCAAGTTACTGAAGGGGCATTTGTTTATTTATGAGCTTCGCTTTGTACAGAGCTTCTGATGGTTTTCAGTTTGGAGAAATATAGCTTTTTAACAAGTAGGTAAAATAAGAGATGGGTCCCCCAAAGACAAAGTTTTCAAATTAAAATCTATTTGTAGAGGACATGAAGTTGAGACGTTTGTTTGAAACTCACCAGCCTTGCTTTATAAAGACCAAAAGCCAGTAAACAGGAGTGACCCAGAATTTTGTTCTTGTTCCACTAACAAGCCATGGCATTTTTGTTTTACTACAATATCAAAGCTAGAGGCTAACGTTGAGCTGACAATGCTAACAGTTAACCTAGAAGCAAATAGTTGTCTGTAAAAATGTCTCAAGCTCCTTTTTCAGTTACCAGACCCTGGTTATTACAGTGAAATGTGCTTATCCACTCATCAGATTATGGTGTCTGACTCTTCTTCACTCATCATCTAGAATGGTCTGGTGCTGATCCGTAGCTAGCAACCGTCATAAAACTGTGAGAAAGTGACTTGTGTGTTTAGAAAAATGAACTGCAGTACCCACATGTGACCACAGGATGTAATTCTTACATAATTCGTACATAAAGTGCCATAAACACAATTGCAAATGAACAGGGCAGTTAAAATTCAGGGTTTCACCTGATTAATGTGTAGAATTTTCTGTACTTTGTATTTTTGTAGTTTTTCTACTTGCAGTTACTCAGGTTTTGCCAAATAACCAGGTAATTTACTGAGAGGTCATGGCGCTGGCCTTCTAACAGTCTCTCTAAAGCCCGGATTACACTGTGCAATTTTCCGCCATTGCACGGGATTTTTCATGTCACACCAGAGAAAGGTGGAACACTGTACCACACAAGATTTCTGAGTGAGACTGCATGACGTCTCGCTCCAACAGGACACGCTGCATCATGAGCGCACCTCCCAAAAGCATTCGTCATTAACTCGTTCACTGCCAATGACGACTAAAGTCATCATTTGCATTTTTTTTTACTGTGTGGGCGTCGGAACAAGGACCGCGCTGAGAGAACAAACATCTCAGCTCTGAAGCTGATCTTCATCTGCATACGTCACACGTCACGTGATCAGGAAGCAGAAAATCCATGTGTTAGGAGAACGTTTTGGGCCGTTCCTGTAAAAAAAGTGAGGCGCGAACTGGAAAAGCTTCTGCCGATCACAATTCAACAACGGAATATGAAAGAACAGATAACGCTCAAAACAGCTGGATTCTTCCTGATGTACGAGGTGAGTCTCCGCTTTGTTTTGGCGTCGACATCATCCTAGCTTGCAACGTTCTGTGACTTAAAAAAAAAACGTAAAAACGGCAAAAAACGCTGGTAGCGAAGGGCTTTACTGATCAGGAAACGGCTGGCAGCGAATGAGTTATACAGACCGCTGACCAAAACAAATCTGAAAAGACAAAAACACTTCTTTTTAGTGTCAGTTCATGACCCAACTCATCCTCTCCAAAGAAGAAGGATCATTTTTAAAACCCTCACTTTGGCATCAGGCTGCAGGTGTCACGGTGTGTAGGGGTCTGACCCAATGTGCAGAGACCCAGAACCACACAGCGAGCGAGTGGTTGCCACAAATGATATAATCCTTTATTTAAGGAACGTTAAAGCCAAATCAAAGGCTCAAAAACCCAGGGAGCCAGCTCAAAACAGCACAGGAGGTCTTAAACGGAGCACAGGAGGAAACAAACAACGCTGACAGGTGTAACACACACACAACAAACCGACAAACACCGAGAGACAAGACAGGGTTCTATACACAGGGGCTGGGTGATGAAAGGAACTAGGAACAGGTGAGACTAATTAACTGAGTGGGGAAGCAGCGACAAAGTAGAGGAGGAAACTGGACCTGAAAACCTGTAGAACAAAACTACTGAACATAAACTAACCTAGACAATAGAACTAAAGACAAACTAATGACCAAAAGAGTTTCAGAACTAAATACACTGAAAGGCAGAGGATAATGAAAATACCTGATCTAAATAAATGACACATCATGGAGGGGAGACAGGAAGGGAAACGGGAGACAAGGACACGGAACGTGACAGCGGGTCTCCTCTTCCCGTCTTTCAGCTTAACTGCTGAGCTGTCTGCTGGTCATGTAACCGTCTCCTTTACACATAAAAAGCCACTAAACTACAGAGAATAAACAACCTGTCACACATCGCTCCAGCTTCCTCTGACCCTCTGCAGCAAAACGCTACTGAACCATCCTTATCTGTTGAAAATGTGAAATGTACACCAACAGAAAAGGGATTTCATGTTTTTGTGTTTTATTTTTTGTTCGTGAGCTCATCTCCTCTCACTCTCACAGAATCAAGGTTTTCACAAGTTATCGGACGGTCTAAAAAAGTTGTTTCCTTTCTTTAAGAATAACTCCGGTTTAACTTGGGCTAATAACAAAAGTAAAAACTGGTGTGTAGTTTATAATCTGCATTTAAGCATAAATTGAAACCGAAGCTCAGAGAGGCGGAGTCTTGCTGCTGCGGCATCTCAAATGTGTGTTTTCATTGGTCGATTGCAGACAAGAGTCATAGGGTTTCAAGCATGCTTGCAGACTGTCTTTGGTCGTGAGGCGACTCAGAAAGCTGTCTCAGAGCCGGTCAGACTGGATAACCACAGATTTGCAAATCACCCTCACCGTTTTTTATACATGATTATTCTCCCGACGAGGGATTTTGCTAAAATGGCTGCAAATCGCACAGAGTGATCCGGGCTTTATGTGAACAGCTCTGGTTTAGGATTTTGGTACCTTGGTATCCACAGTGTCCCGTGGACTGGGAGAAGCGTGAACGCCTGCAGCAGCAGAGGTGTTTCAGCAGTGCTTGTGGTTCTCTGTTGGTCCTGGTCGCTGCATGACCCCCCCACATTTGCAGGCAGCAGTACATGTCCTCCACAGTTTAACAGATAGTCTGAGTCCAACTCTGGTGGATCCAGGGAGCAGTAGTCTGCCAGGAAGTCTTGATGTTGGATTATCTGAATGCCTGCTCCCTCACTGTGAATCACCGTCACACCTTTATGGGTCCCTTCTGCATCTGTTTCCTGGTTTTTAGTTGTGACACCATCCGCTGCCGCCATGGCGATCCCTGCAGGATGCTGCACTGGGAAGACGTCACGAATGGGATCGATATGACCACAGCTGGAAGAAACAGCACCCACATCCTTTATCAAACTAGATAAGAGTACCTGGCCAAGAAGGCAGGAAACATACAGCAAATATAACAGACATTCAAAATACAAGAAGTTTTTCTTTGTCATTGTACCAGTGTCCCGGTACAACGAGATGACACTTTCAGAACAACCCATCCAAGATTTGGCATCCAGTAAACAAACAAAGGCACAACTTAATGGACTCGGACTAAACTGTGGACATGCACCTTTATGGTGCTCCCATACGCAGGAGTGAAAAGGGTTCATGAGGAAAAAGGGGGGGGGGGGGGGGGGGGGGGGGGAGAAAGCATTCCAGTGTTAGCCCTGGCAGGGTGTAGGTTTCCTATGCAAAAGAAAACAAACCCTGAACATATAAGCACAAATCTGTCAGACAGTTCATAGACATGGCCCTTAGGTAGGTGGGAGGGGCTGGGAAGCTTGTTTGTCCCGGAGAGATGCAGCAGCTCAGTGCACATGCTCTATCCCTGTTGTTCACAGGTAGAAGGGCACATTGTCTCCTCAGGTGTGGTGACCTTGCCAGGCTAGGCCACAAATCTAAAGGCAGGGAGGTAGGGCGGGTTTTCAAAGCATCTGCCTGCCTTCCTTCAGGAAGGTTCATTCTTCTTGCAGGCTCAAGGCTGCCAGGGCGCTAGATTCAAATAAGGTTCATTGTTATGGGGCAGAGATAATAATCTCCGTCTTTCAGTTCCTAAACTGGTCTTCTGACTCAAAGTAAATTCATTGATTGGGTTTCATCTTGCCCATACCGTGCAATGACTTTCCCCAGGATTACATCCATTTTGTGCCCTAACACCAGAACCGCAGCTAGAACCTCTAGCTTGTGATTCACCTCGAGCAGCAATGCCAGCCTGAGCAGTCTCTACACAGCTGAGACTATCTGTGGGTTTGGTGGCACTCCGACTTCCTAATTTTCCAAAATACCAGAAATCCTCCCCCTCCAATCAGAAGAAATCCAGTTAACATAAATCCAAAAAACCGTGCGTCTTCAATGTCCACGGACAGCTGGGAAAGGCATGTAATATTCCACACCTTCCAGAACTCCAAAATGTACCCCACTGGGTGTGTTCTATCTGGACAAGCTGGAGCCCCCAGCTCTGTTCTCATTGCTGAAAAACTTGTCAGTCGCGTTGAATGACCATTTGACCTAATCCGTAATTCAATAAAATTTTAACTTTCAGGAGAAATGCAGAGAAGCGCTCTGTAGACAGACAGGACAAGAGCCTTGGGAAAAGATAAGGGAGGAGAGACGAGAAGGGACTGCACTCTTCGAGTGCCGGAAGAAGAAGATTCCAGCACATAAAGAAGATCAGCCACCATATGATTCAGGAAATCCCAAGAAGCAAAGATGTGGCTTTTATTTTTCACTTTATCTGCTAGTATTTTTAATAATCAGCACACAAAAGTATGGATGGTCCTTGAGTCGTGGTCTACTCACTAGTATGTAGCACAGAGCTGGTAAGATGCAGCGTGGAACAGCAGCAGGGTGTTGGTGTGGTCATCCAAGGTCCAGACTGCTTCTTCTCCCCACAAACAGAAGCTGGTTGCTATACTGACGATAGAGGATGGAGGTTTGTATGGTTCCAGCCTTCGAATGGCCTGAAGACTCAGAGAGTCAACAACCAGCAATCCGGGACCGTTGGAGAACCATAACTAGTAAAGACACAGACCCAAGCAACACAGCAACGTTCAGATGTTTGACATTTAAGTAAGCAGGTAGAATATGAAAGTAACGAAAACTACATTTAGAACCAAAACCAAGGAACTGTGTATTAGTGCATATGGTGTACATTAAAGTAACGACCTTAACAAGAAAACTAGAGTTTCAAGGTAAGTCAGTATTCAGGGTTTCCCCCAGCGCTTTATAAGCCTGGCAGCCCACCAGGCTTTGCTTGGCCACCCGCCAGGCTAAGCGTCATGTCCCGCCCCCCTCCCCAACCCTACCGTGTCCGATGACACGAACGGCGCAATGAAACTAGAGCCCTCCATCAGCTGACACTGGTGAGAAACAGCAGTGGACGTGTGCAACCCCCTCACTCTCACAGAGGAGTGCTGCGGGACAGAGCGTGTGACCCCCCCCCCGACAGCCGAAGCCGCCAAGCTTGACTCATTTTGTAATGCTGCTATTTAATTTGTTAACAAAGGGCAAGTAATATGAGATCTTTCTCTTCCCTTTTTTATATATTTTTTGCTTTGATTTTATTTTGATTCCTTTTGAATGAATTAAAAAACCCTTTGGCGCTGACTAGAGGCCTGCTCACTGGCCGAAATCATGGCTCTGCTCACCTGCGAGCCACTGCTGACCAGAGCCATGCTTCTGACTGGAAATGGTCGTTGTCTCAGATCCGAGTCCTTCAGACCAAATACTGTTTTATTCAAGGAGTGTGAACACAAGTAGGTCTCCCCCTCCAGAGGAAGGTCATCCACCAGGTTGAACACCGCCACCAGGCCATCAGACATCCCAGCAAACACCTTGGCCAGGCCCTTGGAGGGAGAAACACATCCGGTCACTTTCACATTAGTCTTTGTATTTAATCATATGGTTCTTTTGTCAGTTCTGATCACATGAGCCCATTTACACTTGGGTCAGCTCAGTCTGGCCTTGGTAGGGTGTTTTATATCTATACCACTTTTTGGCCTCCAATTCAGTTACGTTATACAGGTCCTTCTCAAAAAATGTGCATATTGTGATAAAGTTCATTATTGTCTGTAATGTACTGATAAACATGAGACTTTCATATATATTAGGTTCATTACACACAACTGAATTAGTTCAAGCCTTTTATTGTTTCTAATATTGATGATTTTGGCATAAAGCTCATGAAAACCCAAAATTCCTATATAAAAAATTAGCATATCATGAAAAGGTTCTCTAAACGAGCTATTAACCTAATCATCTGAATCAACTAATTAACTCTAAACACCTGCAAAAGATTCCAGAGGCTTTTAAAAACTCCCAGCCTGGTTCATTACTCAAAACCACAATCATGGGTAAGACTGCCGACCTGACTGCTGTCCAGAAGGCCATCATTGACACCCTCAAGCAAGAGGGTAAGACACAGAAAGAAATTTCTGAATGAATAGGCTGTTCCCAGAGTGCTGTATCAAGGCACCTCAGTGGGAAGTCTGTGGGAAGGAAAAAGTGTGGCAGAAAGCGCTGCACAACGAGAAGAGGTGACCGGATCCTGAGGAAGATTGTGGACAAGGACCGATTCCAGTCCTTGGGGGACCTGCGGAAGCAGTGGATGGAGTCTGGAGTAGAAACATCCAGAGCCACCGTGTACAGGCGTGTGCAGGAAATGGGCTACAGGTGCCGCATTCCCCAGGTCTAGCCACTTTTGAACCAGAAACAGCAGCAGAAGCACCTGACCTGGGCTACAGAGAAGCAGCACTGGACTGTTGCTCAGTGGTCCAAAGTACTTTTTTTGGATGAAAACAAATTTTGCATGTCTTTCTGAAATCAAGGTGCCAGAGTCTGGAGGAAGACTGGGCAGAGGGAAATGCCAACATGCCTGAAGTCCAGTGTCAAGTACCCACAGTCAGTGATGGTCTGGGGTGCCATGTCAGCTGCTGGTGTTGGTCCACTGTGTTTTATCAAGGGCAGGGTCAATGCAACTAGCTATCAGGAGATTTTGGAGCACTTCATGCTTCCATCTGCTGAAAAGCTTTATGGAGATGAAGATTTCATTTTTCAGCATGACCTGGCACCTGCTCACAGTGCCAAAACCACTGGTAAATGGTTTACTGACCATGGTATTGCTGTGCTCAATTGGCCTGCCAACTCTCCTGACCTGAACCCCGTAGAGACTCTGTGGGATATTGTGAAGAGAAAGTTGAGAGACGCAAGACCCAACACTCTGGATGAGCTTAAGGCTGCTATCGAAGCATCCTGGGCCTCCATAACACCTCAGCAGTACCACAGGCTGATTGCCTCCATGCCACGCCGCATTGAAGCAGTCATTTCTGCAAAAGGATTCCCGACCAAGTATTGAGTGCATAACTGAACATAATTATTTGAAGGTTGACTTTTTTGTATTAAAAACACTTTTCTTTTATTGGTCGGATGAAATATGCTATTTTTTAGAGGAATTTTGGGTTTTCATGAGCTGTATGCCAAAATCATCAATATTAGAAACAATAAAAGGCTTGAACTACTTCAGTTGTGTGTAATGAATCTAAACTATATGAAAGTCTAATGTTTATCAGTGCATTGCAGACAATAATGAACTTTATCACAATATGCTAATTTTTTGAGAAGGACCTGCATAAGTTCGATGTGTTACTATTATTATTATTATTGTTATTATTATTATTATTAAAAAACTCACCCCCACATCACTCCCACACCAACCATCACATCCTGCAGGGCAAAGTCAATGACCCTGTTTCATTGCTATGTTTATTTATTTGGCAGACACTTTTATCCTTAGCAACGTACAATTTATAACCTATAGGGGATGTTGTGATCTGTGAGGGGAACCGGAGTGCCCGGAGGAAACCCACGCGTGTGTGGAGAGAACAGGCAACTCCACGCAGAAAGACCGCAGCCAGGTTTCAAACCTGTAACCTTCTTGCTGCGACAGTGCTAACCATTACGCCACTATGCAGCCCATGTGATAAACAGGTCAAAGGAGCCCACAGAGATTGATTTGACGTGGAGGCAGAGGCTGTCTCAAGTGTAACAAAATTTTTCTATACTGGTTAAGGCAAAGGATAGTTTTCTCAGCAATACGTAGGGCAGTCAGGACCACATGAATCGAATTAAGGGGATGTCATTCAAGTTTCCCAGCAAGAAAAGTAAAGGGGAAGTTATACTTTGACCAGTCTTCACATACTTGGCACCAGAATCCCCGAGCCAGTGGACAAGACCACGTGCATGAACATAATTGTCAGGAGTGTTGTCTGTGTATTGCTTACAGGTGTCAGACAGTGCAAACCTTATCCTGAACATCCACTGACTTGTATATTGTACTCTGTGGAGAATTTTGCACTGGACTGATTGTAATTTAGGCTTCCTGGTCATACTAATATAATATAATATAATTTCTAATACTACCAATATCGTTACTATGATCATCCAGAGGACTCAAGACTAGCATGTCTCCTCAACACATTGATATATTGAGACAAAGACCTGAACAGAGTTAGTTGAGAGGCAGACTCACCTGTGCTCGTGCTGGAACATAGAACAGACATGTGATCACAGCCGGACAAGAGAACTGCTTTTGGGGTTGACTTAGTGGGCACATGTCCTTCAGACTGTAGATGAACATCTCTTGTTCCTTTTACAAAGTTACAAAGAGCAGTTCTTATACAAACTAATTTATTAACTCAAAGACAGCATTAGTTTTCTGTATTTTAGTGTGGGCAGGTGGCATACCTCAGTGGACATCCACAGGGTGTTTTGGATCTTCATTTGGCAACTGATCCTGCTGCCTGGACAGGACATCCTCTTCACCTCCATTTGGCCGTTCTCCACATTCACAACACTGTAGGTCCTAAACAACCCACAGAACATCATCAGGAAAAAAATAATCAACCAATTAGTAAACTAGTTATTCATTCTTTTATTCTAAATGCAGGTAATGTCTGGAACCATTTTGAGCAGGATGTTTCACAGGGTAGCTATATGAAGGGATTTCAAAAATACATTTAATACCTTTTAATACGTTTTAAGACCTTCTAAAATAAAATTAAGATAATTCAATTCAGTTTATTTATATAGTGCTAAATCACAACAAGAGTCGTCTCAAGGACCTTCCCACAGTAAACATTCCAATACAGGTCAGTTCATTAAGCCAATCAGTAAAAAGTTTCCTATATAAGGAACCCAGCAGGTTGCATCAAGTCACTGACTAGAGTCAGAGTCTTTACAGCAATCCTCATACTAAGGCCCTGTCCACACGTAGCCGGGGATCTGCCAAAACGTAGGTATTTTTCTACGTTTTGGCCTGTCATTCACATGAAAACGGAGTTTTTTTCACACGAAAACGGATCTTTTTAAAAACTCCGGCCAAAGTGAAGATCTGCGTTTTCTCCGTTTTGGGTATCTGCGTGTGGACGGACAAAACCAGAGTTTTAAGGTCCGCAACGTCACTTTCCGCGACAAAAAAATGCTGACATCACGTGTGCGACCTGTGTTTACACTAGCCGACAGCATGGATGCCCTCAGAGCTGCGCTCGCTTTATCAACTGTCCAAGCGCTTTTTGCTTGTTTGTTTTTGCAAGCGGAATTACTGCTCCTTGTGGAAGACCACAGACGAAGGACGAGGTTAAGAACGGGGGAAGTACTGCCGCCTACAGGTCTGGCATGTCCTTAACAACGTATTTATCCGGGTACGTGTGGACAGTTTTTTTTTTAAACGAGGTGGTGTGGATGCAAGTTTTTGGAGGGGCGGATATTCGTTTTTAAAAAAAAACCCGGCTACGTGTGGACTAGGCCTAAGCAAGCATGCAGCAATAGTGGAGAGGAAAACTCCCTTTTAACAAGAAGAAACCTCCAGAGGATCCTGGCTCAGTATAAGCAGCCATCCATCAAGTAGATGGGAGCAATTCCATACAGAAATTTAAATTCAGTGACTTGAATTTGATGCAGGCAGCAAACGGTAAGTTGATGGAGCTCAATGATCAGAAGGGTGACTAGTGCTCTTTCAGGCTCACCGAAGACCAGAGTTACCAAAGTGTTCAGGACAATCTGCAGATGCTTCACTGTCCAAGCTGGGAGATCAGTTAGAGGGGTATTACAGTAGTCATGGTTAGAGATGGCCATGTTGCGGTAGGTATGGTCCATCTTTCGTGTGTTAAACAATCCAAAATGACATGATCAAGTCATAGACGCAACTTGATCTTCAAAGGTCACCTGGTTATCAATCATGACCCCCAAATTTCTAGCCAACTTTGATATTCAATTCAATAATTTTATTTCACTCAAAATTTTAATATACAAACTTCAAATCAGAATACAATTGCCAACCAGAATATAAGCATTCGAGTGAAATAGGGGGAGGAAGAAGAAAAAAATTGTATATGACCTACCCCCTTTAACGAAGACAAGATAAATTACAAAAAGTACAAAATGGCCTTATACACAAAAAATAAACCGCTCTCTTTCTTCCACAAATAATATCAATACTAAAACATTAATCCCCCATCCTTAACTCGCCAAATCATACGATTTTAGCATTTTATCTTTATACATTTTTTTTAATTGACCAGTATTTGTACATTTTTTTAATTCATCATCCAGGTTATTCCATAATTTCACACCAAATATTGAAATACACATTTGCTTTAATGTAGTATGAACAAATATCCTTTTAAACACTGGTTTCTTTCTACTCTTATCATTTTTTGGGATCAAAACAAAGAACCTTTGTAGATTAGTTGGCAGTAAATTATTTCTAGCCTTAAACATAATTAGTACAAATTTCAAGTTAACTAAGTCTTTGAATTTCATAATTTTAGATCATATATTAATATAAAAAATAAAATATTTGTTAGTATGTTCTCTCGGATTTGCGTTATATAGAATTCGCAAAACTATATATAGATATAGAAACAGAAGTAATCAACGTATGTGATATTATCGGGCTGTTTGGTTGGTTTGGCTGGAAAGAGAAGCAGTCCAGTTTCAGAAAGGCTGTGGAGGTGGTGGGTAAATACATGGAGCAGTATAAGTATGGACTTGGCTGTCACTCTGGCTTCTTTTAAGGCTTTTGTCACAGCCAACAGAGATATTTTAAGCCTGATTTATACTTCACCGCGTTGGAGACGCACACGGAGTGTCGGAAAGGTTTAATATGCAAACAGGCAGTGGAGCGTTGCAAAACAATTCCCCGCCAGGACAACAGAGGGCGTAGCACTTTTCTGTGATATCCTGCCACCATAACACTCATGTATCCGGTTCACAATAGTGTATTCACTAATGTGTTTATTTATTTCAGAGACTCCTCCACCTCTTCATGCAGTCGCCACCTCTAAACCCACGTTTCCCATCATTTCCGTCCGCATTTGCTCCGTATTATGTACTCCTTCACTCACGGGTGAATAAACATTTATACAGTATTTTCAAACTTTTTCGGTAATGTGTTCTTCAATCTGTTCTGGGTCTGCCGCTAAATATCTTCTTACTTTTTAACGGGGCAATGGCGGTGCTGGTGACGAACATACAGGAAGCAGCGTCCTGACCAATCACAAGCTTGCGGCCTCCGTCACTTTCGACGGGTGTTTAAAAAATTTTGGGCATGTCTCCATCACCCTCTGTGAGCCTGTCGGAGAGCTCTTGCACCAACGCATAATGGCGTTACGCATCTAAGACTATAAAGTATAAATGAGGCTTTTGTGGAATGGCATTTTTGAGATTATTTTGGGTCAAAGAGGTTTGTTTATGAGAGTCCTTCAGATAGCAACGGTAGGAGTGAGACAAGTTCACAGTTCTCTATGAGTTGGAGGGAGGGCAGCTTTCTTGTGCAGTGGTAAAACACGGGAATACTTAAGTGAGGTAGGAAATGTACCAAATGTTAATACAGCATAAATCACATGACTGGCTGCTACAGTTACCATAGGAAACTGTTCCAAATGGCAGTGGGACAGCTATATGTGAAACATTTTATTTATTTATTGTTTTACTGTGTCCTGTCCAGCTGTGAAGCGATCAGAATTAATGTCTGAATGCTGAAGACAAGCCTTACAGTTTTCTCTCACAGGTGGAGCGTTAACATCATCATCATCATCAACCTTTACTTATAAAACACATTAAACAATCTTTTAGTCTTTATGAAATGTATATTTATTCAGAGGTCCCTACTTTATTTTGACTAATTAATTAGCAAAACTGAAACATTAATATATAAGTATATATATTATATTTTTTTCTCCCTTCGAATCTGGGAGGGCGGAACCCCAGCTCCAGCTATGGACGAGCCCCCAGGGGGCCCAACTTGATATTTTTTCATGGGGCCCAAAATCTCTGGCAGCCCCCCTGACAACACCAACCAAAGTGCTGTACAAAACACTACATCACCAAAATAGACAAAACAAATAAAAACTATTAAAAAAAATAATAATAAAAAAAATTCTGCTATAACGCCACGCCTGATACCAAAACTTTATTTGAAATATTTTTGGTGGTTTTAAATCGCAATGGACATGGAGACAAAAGTGTAAGAGAAAGGCAGAGAGAGAAGGAAGAGGTGGCAGAGGTTCACAAAAAAAAAACCTAATACTAATAAATGATGAACAAGAATCTGCTTCTAGACCTGCAGAAAGAGAAAGACAATAAAACAAGACCGAAATATCACTGCGCCCACAACATGGGGATATATAACAGTAACAATTTTTATAGAAAAGCTCATAATAACAATTCATAGTGCATTTAGTGCAGACCACAGCCTTAGGTCATGTGTTTAAAATGCCCAAGCCCATCCTTGTAAGAGCGCCATGTGTTACCATAGGAAACTGTTCCAGATGGCAGTGGGACAGCTCCATGTCACACATTTAGACACACTGTTCTTGGTGAATGAAAAACACGATGCAGGACATCTGCATGCTGAACCAGAAACACAGAAGAACCCACTCCCCTTCACCACCCGAACTTAAGTGACGTGTCATTTGCAAACGAAAACTTCTCTTAGAGCCAGCTCTGTCTCAGAGGAGCCGAATCTGAGTTTTATTTTTCTTTTCTTTCTCGCTCTCATTTTTTATCTCCGTCTTTCTGTCTATTTTTATTTAAAATTTAGTTGCTCTCTTTTTCGTGTTGGATAGTTAGAAGTTATTTAAAGGCATAGTATGCCACTTTTCACATTTTCTTATAATTTTCTGAAGCCAGTATGTGCTAAAATGACCTTTTAACGAAAAGTCACTCAGACCCCACCGCCCTCTGTAGCCAGAAAATCACACTTGCAACTTCATTGTGGCGGGCTGCTGTTTAGCTGGTGCTACAGTCCGCTTCCAGCACATTTCCTGCATGTTTTAGATCATGAACACATGTGATATGTTTGATTTAGTGATTAAACTCTTCTGTAGACTCTAATGACGGCTAGGGAGACATTTCCCACAGAGAGGAGATAGGTTTTGCTTTCGGTTCTACTAAACAGACACTACAGGTGCTAAAAACAAGCCCAAACTGCCTCGTCTCCATTGAACTAATAAAAAGTTGATTTAACGTATGTTTGTAGATTGGCTAAACATTTCACACACATTTTACATAATTTCTGGTGATAAATGAATTAGAAAAACCAAAAATGCTAATGTCTAATGAGTTTGCATCCTTTTTCAATGAGAAAGTCACAAATATCAGATCAACATTTATTCCTCCACATCAACACAACCAGACCACAGCTACAGCCACACAGCAGTAATATGGTTAGAATACCAGCTTTCAGTGTGATTAGTGCTAAAACACTGGACAACATAGTTAAGGCCTAAAACCCATCTACCTGCTGTCTGGACAACCTGCCAACTAACTACTTCAAAAATGTTTTAGCTGCTTAAAAGCTGA